CCTGACCACAGTCCAGGCCTTCTGCACAGCCCTCAAGATCTGGCTAGCCCGTCAGGCCTGGGGATAAATTCTCTTGCCCCTCCCGAATGCTGAGTGAATGTTGTGTTTTAGTATTTTTTTAGTTATTTCACATTTTTTTTCTGTATTTTGTCTTTCACTCCCCTTCCCTTACTATTGTAAGCCGCCCTGAGTCCCCTCAGGGAAAAGGGCGGCCTATAAATGCTAAATAAAATCAATAAATCAATAAAATCAAATACAATTCAAATATAAGCAAAGGACATAAAGAGAACAATGAAAAACTGATTGGAAAATAAAACATAATAACATTTAGGAAATCAGATGTCAAACAATACATGCTTCTTTCTTAGTTACTTCTTAGTTACAGTTCAAAATTCTCTGAATTTGGAAATACAGTTCTGTTAATATTTTTAGAATAATATTACTAACAATAGAAGTTAGAGATATACAAGAGAAGATATCATCATAAGCTGTTTAAAGAAAGTATCTGCCCCATAAAAACACATGCATTTTGTATTTGTGTTAACAATATAAGTACTAATCAAAGCTCATCCTCTTATTCAAACAGGCCATTAAAACAAACAATCCTTGCAAAAAATGAAAGAAATCATTTTGCTTTCTTTTTTCAAATACAAAATAGTGTTATTTCTTTATAATCTTTTGCTGTCAAAGAGGGCAGCAACTACATACTCTTTTAATCCTAATCCAGGAATTCTAAATTATACCAGAAATGAAAGTAAATAGCCATCTTGATGAAAATTATTGTAGCAAATGAGAAAGAAAGAAAGAAAGAAAGAAAGAAAGAAAGAAAGAAAGAAAGAAGGAAAGAAAGAAAGAAAGAAAGTTATTTCCATAATATCAACCCATACAGAAATCCAGCGTGCAATTTTTTCACCTTCTTGTTGTAAAAGAAGAGGAGCCATTCCAACAAATGAAGTGATCAAATATCTGGAAAAGGAATTCGTTCCTTCAAAAGCAGGTATACAGAGAAAAGTAGGAGAGAAGGGCAACGCCAATATGTGCTAACAAATACTTCTAAAATTGAACATATTGCTATCAAAAGCATCAAGAATGGTTTCTCAACAGAACAGTAGCACAAAGATGAAGCCAAAGAGAAAATTCAGAGCTTGACCCAAGTTGTCCTTTATTCCTGATCTGATTTAACAAAAATAAATTGTGCTGTATCTGATTGGGAAGCTGAAAATCTAGCTCTAAAAAGATTTTTTTTAAAATAATTCTCTATAGATTTGTCTGAACCTACTGAAAGACTATACTGTCTTTCTCTATTGAAACAACTGTACCAGAATACTTCAGGATAATAACAGTTTCTTCCCTTACAGGGAAGGATACAGGTAGAATACTGTACTTAAGTACAGAAAGTGATTGAAATAATCCTTGTGATAGATGCATTGCTATGGATTGTTAACATATTCTGTCATGACTCCCCAAAGCTTAGGTTTTAACAAATCTATTTATCATCTACTAGAAGTGAGAGGATCAAAATTATGATTGCTGAATAATTTTGATCTTTGTTGAATAAAACTGGCATTTGTTTTTTGCAAACTTCAACTAAATAAGATTCTATCAGGCTATCTTTCAATTTGCTATGAAAAAGATAACTGAAGTTAATTGTCTTCGCGAATCTTTGTAGCAAAAGCAATGATTTTATTATCTGATTTTCACTAAAATAGCACGTCTGGGTACTATGGTACTTTCTTGCCAATAAACATTGATTCATATGATTCATATGACTTCTTCCAGGTTGAGTGACTTAAGCTAATATAGTATGCCATCATTTCTCTTAACAGCTGTTTCAGATGGAGATGGTGAAAAATTACCTGGTGAGGCTGTGAGAGCCATCACTCCATAGTAAGAGAAAGCACCAGCTTCAAACTTCATTCCTTCTTTCCCAGCCTCTACTTCTACTTTTCCCTGCAGAGGAAAAAAAAGATAACTTTCCTATTTAGAATTAGGGGAAATGCTGGTCTTTAGCCAGATCCATTAATTCATTCACCTCAGCAATCATTTATTCTTTTTCAAAAATAGTTTTTATTTTACATGTGTTCCCAAGTATAATTGGTTTCCTTCAATACCTCAGAGGCTGTTTTTCTCAATTATATTCAATAATTGAACATAAAATATTTTAAATAAAGGAATAAACCATTCTGGCTATAAATTAAACAAGTTCACTATGTGGGACAGTGCCAAATATATTTCCCAATGACATCTGAAGGAATGCTTTATGTTTCTTTCCAATATATACCATAACTTTATTTTCCCCTCTGTAGATTCATAACATTATATTAAAGGCCAGGCAAGCAAGCTTTATAGAATCAGATAGGTAGATGCCTGAACAAAAGCCAGTTTGGTGGTGAAAGTGGAAGAAAATGGCAAGTACAATGTGAGCAGAATACATCAATTCCAAAATTGGGAAACTAGCATTGTTACTTTAAGAATCACAAGATCTGTACCAGGTTCAAGGAATTCTATCTTTTGTGTAATTGTTCAACACTGATAGTACATATAAAAAAATGTCTGGTATTTATAATTTTGAAGCTTTGCATGCTTCAAATTCCAAATTAATTAGCAGCATACAAAAATGGAAATTTTAGAAGCTGTTGGGATCTGATGTTTCATGGTTAGTGCACAAAGAGAATGGCTCCTGTTTTTCCCAGATGGAACTGAGGGCTGCTTCATAGAGTCTAGCAAGAAGTTGATTATGACGGGAAGAGCTCAATGTTTCAATTTAGGTCCTCTTAAAGGTGGCAAATTTTACCAAAGACATTGGAAACTTGGGGGAACAAAGTGAATTAAAAATAAGCAAAACAAAAACAGGAATATTTATTAAGAACTGAAAAAATATAACCTAAGAGAAAGAAAAAAAAATAGAATTCAATAACAGTTCTTATTCTGCTACTATCATGTCTACAGCAAAGTGCTTTCTTCACTTGAGTTGGGAGGAAAATCTATCAAGTATTTTATTTTAGAGCCTACTTTTGCTGTTCCTCAGTAGCACAGTCAGCAGATACTCATTTCTGTGCTGTCCTTTCTTCTACCACCTACTGTGATCTACCAACAGGAAAGACTACCACCAATTACTCCTCTCAGTATGTTTGGCATTCAGTTCAGTTTTGCATTGCTTAATTTTGACTTTACTAGTACTTTCATCACACTATTTCTGGAAATCACATGATTTCCAGGCCCCAGAGGCAGAAATCTACCACTCTAAAAGTGAGAATTCATACATGAGGGCTGACAGCTTTCTTCAGCTGAGAGCTGTGAAGAGTGCAGTGCAGAGGTGGGTTCCTACCAGTTTGCACCTATTTGGTAGAACCGGTTCGTCAAATCTACCGAACCTGTTAGAAAAGGTTCCACCAGTGGACCCAGAAAGCAGGCCACACCTACAGAAGAGGTTCCAAAAAATTTTGAAACCCACCACTCGTGCAGTGCTTTTCTCTTTGTTGGGGTCCCGCCTAGAGGATAAAATCTAAATAGCTTTTTCTCTTTCTGTCTATGAATGTTAGCAGAGATGAATGCTTTTAAAATGGAACCAGGGTTTAACAGATGCAAACGAGTAAGATTCACCACTTCAAATATCCTATTTAGAAATGCTAAAGTGGAATTTAAAGGAAAAATGAACAGAGAGCTACTAGATCATTAAAGAATACTACATACAGGTAACCAAAATTTGCAGAGAATATATCAGGAAAGCAAAACTCAGAATAAGATGAATTAGCAAATGATCTCAGGAATAACAAAAAGAGATTATTTGGGTATGTTTAAAATAAAAGAAAGAGGGGAAAATAGTACACCAGCTGCTAACTGAAGATAGCAAATGATAACAGATAACAAAAGCAAAACTATTCAATTCCTATTTTAGCTCAGTCTTCTCTGAGAAAAGAATATGTGTTCCACCAGGGAATTATGAAGAACCCGAGGAAGGAACAGGTTTCTAGTTCAAGCTTGTGAGAAATATTAGTCAGATACTGACCTTCAATGAGTTCAAATCTCCAGGGCCAGATGGATTGCATCCTAGGGAACAAAAGGAAATTGCTGAAGATCTGGCCAAAACTCTCCAAACCAGGTGAAATAACAGATGACTAGAAGAAGGAATGCAATGTCCTTATAGAAAAAAGGAACTGCAGACCAGTCAGTCTGATACCTGGGAAGGTTTTGTTTTTAAGGCAATTAATGTTAAGAGACTTGAAAATAATATGGGAAATACTAAAAGTGTGGATTTATTAAGAACAAATTTTTCAAAACTAATTTATTAATTTATTATAGACTGCGTCAATGCATTAGGAATAAATGTATCTTGACTAGCAAAAAAAATCATCAGCTACTCTGTGACAGTCTGATTAGCAAGTATCAGCTGATTCATGCATCTATAATATGGGTCTACAGACTATTTGAAAACCATTCTTGAAACTGAATTTTAATTTCTCAAACTGAAGTGAGATATAAAATAGGATACCACAAAGCTTAGTCCTGGACTATTTTCATCAATATTAATGAGTTGAATGAAGAAATAGAAGGGATTTATGAAATTAGTAGATGATTCAAACTGATGTTAATATTCTATAAGAAAGAAAAGAAAATTCAAAATGATCTTGAGACAAAAGAGAAGTGAATTTAAAAAACATAGAGGAGAGGTTTCTTCTAAGGATGGAGAAAAGTTTGCAACAGGGATCCTGATTTAATTCTGACAGAAATATCTGTGCTGGCTCAATGAAGACAAGTTTATTAAAGCAAAACCTTAATAATGTTGTCTACCACAATGATACAGTTATTATATATAAGAATGTGACTGATTTTAGATAGATGGAAGTTTCATTGTCTTCTCTGACAGGATGCATTTTTACAAAAATGCTGAATACATATTTTCTAAAATTTGCAAGGTAAGTTGCATCATGGACAGAGAATAATGTTACTGTGCTTATTTATATGAACAATGGCTCTCTGAGGTGACCTGATTGGATTAATTCCAAAAAAACTAAAAACTTTAAGCAACTTGCAAAGAGGTTCTATATAACAGATGTCATTTTGTTACCAACCAGCAATTATTTATTTGATCCAAGCCTAAATGTGTATCCCACTGTAAGTCCAATGGAAATAAGAGCAAAGAAAGGTCAACAGTCTTATTGGTAAATCCTGTCCATCAAAGAAAAGAGACACAAGTTTCCATGGAAGGCGGAGGTATTTCCAAAAGTGACTGAGAAAAATGAATAATTGGCACCATCTCATAGTCAGCTGAACAAATAACATTAAGAGTAATTATTATAAAGTGTAAAAAGCCTCTGAGCCATGAAAAGGCTGATGGTAGGTTCGTCCCAAGCAGGCTTCATGAAGTCAATATGATAGGATGTCTTCTTGAATGGCAGAAAGATCTTTGCGTGACTGAAATTCAGGAGGATCCTAGAAAGAATAAGATTTAAGATAGCTGAAAATGCAATCCCGTGGAAATTGTATTCTATGGGACTGAGAAAGAGTAGCCTGGACATGGTCCTAAAGTGGAAAATCAAATGGAACCACGAGGAATCAGTGTAAAATAGTATTTAAGAGACTGAAGTAGGAATGGTAAGGTCTAGGTTCAAAACTACCCTTAGTTATAGAAACTTAGTGGTGACTTAGAGACAATCACTTTTTCTCGGTGCAATCGTGCTCACAGGACAAATGGATTTCTCTTTGTAAGCTATATGTTGCTCCTGGAAAAAAGACAAGAAATATATTCAACAAATAAAATAAATAAATCATTTATATAAAGATATATACACTGCTGTATGAGATATAATATTACAGCCATCATGCCAATCAGGAATAAATTTTTCTGAAACAAACATTCAAAGATTTATCCTTCTTAATCTGATAAGTTTTTCTAATTAGTTAGGAGTTGATCTCATTGTCAAATATTTTTCAGCGTGGTCAGAAATTATGGTAGGACCAGAACAACAGCAGGAATGCAAACTGGATTAAATGCATTATCAGGAAAAGAATATGATCAAACTTTTAACCTGAAGAAAGTTCTCATAGCATACAGGACTAAGAGTAATGGTGTAAAATCAGTTCATACTAAATATTAGGAAAATCTTTCTAACCATGAGAGCAACACAATAGACGAATCAATTATCAAAGAAGGTAATAGACTCTCTTTTGATTGAATTATTTAAATGAAGGTGGATATCCAGCTATTGAGAATGCTTTAATTTTAATTCCTGTGTAAAATAGGATTACACCTTGATAGATAAAATTCTGTGAAAGGCAAGGCTCACACATGGTGGTACTCCGAAGTTGCTTTGACTTAGGCTTATTAAAGAAAATGCAATTGAAGTAGCTTATTATTATGAGCTAAAACCAAACAAATTATATTATAACTTTTAATGTGTGAACCCAACCAAAATCTCTATGGAAAATAGAATGAATTCTAACTCTCAGAATAAAGCTTTACACAATTCCAAGAATTCATCCCACCAACACATTTGAGAAACAATACAAAGAGATCATTAAAAGTGTCATAGCTATATTACCCTAAATACTGGCCTAAAGACAGCAATAGACAATTGCACAGTTTCTATAAGTACAAATTCTACAAATTTGTTAGATATACTGTTACATATTTCTATATAAAAAAGATCAAAAAATTTTCTGATCCAAATAAAACTGAGGCCTTCTGTGAAACCCTTCACCATGTAATACAGACAGTATCTTTCTTTCTTTTAAAACATTTTAAGGTGCTTTGGATTAATAGACAGTAATTAAACCAAAAACACTCATTGAATTCCATGACTAAATGGGAACTTAATCACTACACTGATTCTCAAACCTAGTCAAATTGTGTGATTGTGTGAATTGGCAATTATAGAGTTCAACCATTGGATTGATGGACTGCATTACATGAGGCTTTACCCTCTTACAGCTGCGAATGCTTTGGGAGAGAATGCTCTTTGATCTAAGTTTCAGAACACTAGAGGTCCATTAATAGAAAAGGTATTTGTTCAGCTTCATTTGGTACATAAGGATAGTTCTTGACTTATGATCATTTGTTTAACCAAGTTCAGAGTTATGACAGCCTTGGGAAAATTGATCAGTACTCACATTTACAACTATCACACACCCTCTTGATCACATGGTTATAATTTGGGTACTTGGCCACCAGCACACATTTACAGCATTCTGCGGTCATGTGATATATATTTCTTGCCAACACCCATTGGGGAAGCTAAATTCACTTAAAATGGTCATAAAATCAGATCTGACTTTGACTTATGACCACAATGATTTATGACAGATGTTCTTGTCCCAATCACAGTCATAAGTTGAGGATTGCCTGTAGGGATATAAATAGCCAAGACAGAATGACCCACACTCACATTTACATTTGATTTGTGTGGTTTTTTTCCCCATTTAAATGACTATAATTTCAAAAAAAAAGAAAAATGGAATTTTTTTTACAAAATGGGTATAAATGGAAAAAAGTCATTGATATTTCTAGCTATATTTTTAATGACCTAATTTTTAAGAAGTGCCAAGAAAGATAATGAGAATTTTCTTTATAGGAAGACTGACAGTACATTTCACAAAGTCTGCATGAGTAGTAGAGAAACCATCATCCTCTTTAAAAAGCAACTATCCCTTGAAGTGATCAAAAATCGTAAGAAGGATTTACACTCGAAGTTATTTTCTTTACATTTTGATATGAGGTAATAAAACAATGACTAGATCTAGCAAATGAGAGAAAAATAGACTCAGCACAGAGGAAGGTAAAATCCTTTTGAGTTATAAAACAAATTTTGAGCACCATTAAAAATCTTCAAGTCGGAGTCTAAATTACTGACAAATCCTTTCCCGAGAGCTTTAGCTATAAGGGTACTTTTTGAACAATAATTTCTGGTATGCTGAGTAGCAAATGAGTTGACCTTAGTCTTTAATATTGCATCCAGGAAATGGAATCTTGCCACCTTGGAACTCCCAAATCATCACAAAGCCTTCTCTCAAGCTTGACTTCACATTTGCTCTTCTGCTCTGCTGGAAGGCAGATTTACAACGAGCGAAAAAAAGTTTGTACTTGTTCTTTTGACTCAAGGACACTTGATACAAATGAAATGTCTTCACACAATGCTGTATATAATGAGGCTTACATTATACAGTACATCTCTACTGGAGCTGGGCAAGTGATGCTATTGCAGTGTTTCTGAGTGCCTGGAGGCTATGTGGGTCTGGATGGGGACTTCAACTCAACCCAGACTAATCTTGCCAGATTGGCATTGGGTGTTTGGCCAACCAGGGAATGGTGACTTGCCATCTTTGACTAGCGATGGGATTGCATTTCCATGAACTACGCTGGTGTGCAATTTGAGGTGGGAGGATTCCTAGATTCACTGCTCTTGCTTAATGAGCATATATAGCCATGGCAAGGGGAGTTTTTTTACAGATTTATGTTTGCATTCTTTTCTGGACCACAATCACTCACATAATAGTTACCTCACGGCTGCATTATTGTAAAGCTCTAAATCTCCCCTAAAAGTCCACTTGGAAGTTACAACTGGCCCAGAACACAGCGGCACCCAGAGTATTGGGTGCCCATAGGCTCACCTATGTTATACCTTTATTGAATGAACCGTACTGGATCCCTGATTTCTTCCAAGTGTTATCACCTTTAAAGCCCTACAAACCATGGGGCTTGATTATTTGTGGGGCTGCCTGTCTCTAAGAATATACACCCACTAGATCAGATAGGGTAGGCACACTCAAGGTCCCCTCCCTGAAATCTTGTAGGGTCTTGGAAGTATGCCTTTTCTGCTGCTCCTACCTTCCCACTGGTGATCTGGTGATTTGACAGACACCCCCACCCACACACACACACCATTCTAGTCTTCCAGAACTTCAGTTTTTATTGAGATGCTGACATTGCATGCATAGAAATTATGGAAAGATTACAATTGAAACTGCTGTGAGCCGTCTCAAGGGGGACATTTCAAGAGGTACAATTATGGCTCAGGGTTTTTATTATTTTACAGTTTTTATTGTTTTTATGATTGTTTTATTAAGTGGTTAGATAGGTGGCCATACAAATCTTTTAAACAAATAAATAAATAAAATAATGTTAATTCTAAAGGAATTTACATAATGATAATTATGTTCCATTTAGTAAACTTTCAAGGGCACCCAGATTAATTCCTCAATCTTATACACAGCCAAATTCTGTATGCAACATGTGGAGTACAGCAATAAATAGTAAGAGTATACTATCAAAACCAGTTCCTTCTCTAGCTATAGCACTTATTCCTCATTGCTTTTATCTTAGAATCTGTTTGTTTCACACTGTATTATTCATTATGTAACTCAGTATTGGATTACTGTCTGGACTTTATTTCTTATAGGCCTTTGGCTATAACAAAGAATTCATTCATTCAAAGCTAGAGGTGACTTAAGCAGATAAATGACTCAAGAATAGACTATGATCCTGATCACAGAGGCCAAGAAAACAACTATATTAGAAATATAAGATTAAAACGCTTTTGCTTAAACATTCATTAGGTGGGATCATTCTTAGCACCTTATTATATAAGGAATTTTATGCAATATATACGTTGTGGCACAGGTTTTCACTGACTACATCAAAAGCATAAATTGTTATCCAAAATTGGTAAGTATATTTCTGTGTGTGGAACTAAAAAAAATATTTTTCCCAAGAACAGAAGATTCTTCTACTTTTTAGTATAAAACAAGTCACTATGTTTATGCTGAGCAAAGGAGTTTCTATTATTTATTAGAATTTTCTACTGTGTATTTTATCTATCATATAAGTAACAACTCTTGGAACAAAAGTCTGTTTGAATTTTAAAACATGTACATTCAGTATACAAGATTAGTAAAATGAAAATAAATATACTCTTTAAGTATACAGAAATAGTTTTTAATAAAAAGTAATATATATTATTAAACAAGCTAAATAAGATCAGATTTGCAACTTTTTTTCTTCATGACTAATTTTAAAGGCTTTTAAAAATACCTCATAAAAACAAGTAAAGCTGCAATTATAATATAAAATATATTAAACCATATGTCAACCATATTTCAAATTTCCTTCATGACTTAATGACTCTTCGTGTTATTTTGGCCATCAGACAAAGGCTTCAGAATTCATAGTTTGTTTTTCTCTCTAAAAATAACATCTGCATAGATAACTGAGGTAAACAAATTTGTGTAAATCAAATTATTTTTATCAATGAAAAAGATATTGTTCCTAACAAACATTCAGACTATCTTGTGAATTGATTTGTGAAAATATCAAACCTATAATAGTTAAGTGGAAATACTGTAGAAGATTTCAGTTTTATTTAAAAACACCAAAGTAATGCATTAAACTAAATAGTATTGTCAAACAGCAGATCTAAAGACCACAAAATTGTTTGGTTTTTCGTTGTCATTTGTTTTAAAAGCAAACCGGTAGGTGGTGCTGTTTGCTTACTACAGTATACATAATTGTTTAGTTTATTAGGCAAAACTAAGATTAGTCCAATTCGTATTACAGATTACCCATAAAATAATGCCCCGAGTTAATATGCATACCAGGATTTTATCAAAATGTCATCTGTTCTGGTTATTGACTTAAAAATATTTACTTTTGGAAGGAAATGTGATTTTTCAAGCATATTTGCTGCTTAGTTGTTTCCATTCTGTTTCCACTACTTTAAAATAATTTGGTTTTCACTCTATTTTGATGATGCCAAAACCCAAAATTCAGATAACATTATCTTCCATATGTTGCTAACTTACAATTCTCAGTATCGCTAGTCAACATAGTGAACAATGGAAATGGTGACTTGAAAACATCTACAGGGACTTAAATTATGGAATTAATTGGATGATTTTAATGGTTCATTAAAAGTAGTTAATATTAATTAGGAGTATATCTAAAATTGTATGGTGATCAATACATTGAATAACTGAATAAGAATGTAATACATGGCCCTGGTTTTACATAGGCTAATATTTTCACCTTTTCTTCAAAAGGGTCAACAGCAATTTCTTCGGTCATTTTCAGATTGTGCCTTTTTCTTTCATCTCCTGCTTTACTGTAATGGAATGTATGAAAGATCTTGGGGGAAAAGAGGAGGAGATGTTGCCTAGGAAGCAATCAGACAAGAGAAGCAGGAGCCTGCAGTTGCTTTATGTCAGAGAAATGTAAGAAAGACCCACTTCACTGGACCAAGTAGTGAAATTTGTGTCTTCAGACTTGCAAGTTTCTATTAATGTAGCCTTACAATAAAGTAGAATTAGTTCATTTTGTCATGTTTCCTATCTGGTTTACCAGAGAGAGCTGACATTTATCAGTTAATTATGATTTTTTTCAAAGTATTAGTATTTTCTACTCCTAACTACAAGGCTCCTTTAATCAGACACCCCCAAAATTTTAATAGACACATAATAATTTTCCCATTAAATAAGATGGTGTCGATTGAAGTCTTTCTAAAAAAGTGACTCAGACTAGAATTTGGAAGGAGGAACTGTTGTCTTGACTTTTGCCCTCTCCCTGATATTTTAAACCAGCACAGCTCCATCCTCCCAGTATTTGCACTGAAAAAAGAGCTTCCACTCTTACCAATGGACCTTTTGCCAATACCTCTGAAGCTGCCATTTATTTTTTTAAAGCCATTCAGTCACCATTAGGATGAATAGTATTTTGCTTAACCAAATCTTAAGTTGCCCTATGCAGGCAGAACAAATAACAACGTAATGCAGGAATAATGATGACCCTTTGAACATTCATTGAATGTCATTGAATAGTCATGCAGGTCAGAGGAGAGTTGCAGGAGAAACAAATGCTTATAATCATAGGTCTGACCTGTAAAATTAGAATGAAGTAATCAATAGGTTTGTTTCGCTGATAGAGGTAGTAGTCAGGGGCTTTCTTGTTTTTCTCATCATACTTCAGCTCCTGAATCACATTGGGATGCTTTAGTAACCTCAGGAGGATCTTTTCAGACATTTGGGATGGGCCAAATGCTTCCACCTCTGAAAACATAAAAACAACTTGATTGATAATGTATAGTACATTTGTTAAGACATAATATATTGATTAACATATTATTAAAATAAATATAAAAGTGGAATGGCAAATATCTCAGGCCAACACATCTCTGTTATTTATTACCTCTGTCTTGTGCCATGTGCATTATGTTCATGTCACTGCTCAGACTGCCCAAGAATTTATCAACCGATCTGGGCAATATTAGGCTGGAGGTAATATCTGTCTATTCATAAAGAGAGACCAGAAATGGAGGAAGCAATTAAAGAAGACATCCTTCTTCCATTTTTTTGCTCTTCTCTACCTCTGGAAATCTGGCCTAAAATTTTTTTTCTCCCAAAAGGGAAAAGGCACACATGTAAAAGAAAAAAGGGAATGGAGATTGGAGGGAGAGAAAAGGGAAAGGTTTATCTTAAATGGTGTAGGGTCTCCCGCTTGGGCGAGGGTTGAACTAGATGACCTACAAGGTCCCTTCCAACTCTGTTAATCTATTAAAAGCAGAAAACAGACAGTGCTCCTGCATGTTTGTTTCACTCCAGCAACTATTTTTAATTAAATGAAAGGCAAAGAAAGTTACATGGTTTTCCTACTGGCATCCAGTTCAGTTTTAGTCTGATCAAGTCTATGAAAGCAATGTGATGCTGCTCCTGGCCTTCTTGAACAATTTTAAGTTGTACAAGCTCTATTTCTGTTAAGCTCTCAGAATTTCTATCAGAACTGAACATAAAATATAAGAGGAGAATATAATGAACAAGGAGATACAATACGCAATTCCCTAACACAGCTTCTCTACTCCATCCACTATTTTATTGATTCTGTTAACAATTTAGCAGTTAGATCCTAATAAGATAAGAACTTTAATAAACCACACTTGCCTGTTGCTAGGAAACGGTGCATTGCCAAAAGCAACTGTGGTGAGATTTTAACCTTCATTTCACTATCTGTCTGTTTGAAGGCAGAGAAATCCTGTTTTCTCTCCCGATGGGCTACTTTCTTTTTGGTCTTGTTATCAGCTAGAGATAAAACAAATAAAAGATTCATTACATTTCGCTCCAGTGTTTACCTTATGATTTCATGTTTATATTCCAATTTATTATTTTTGTATTTATTCCAATTATTATAAGCTGTTATTATTTACGTAATAAAAGTCCACAAGCCTCTGAGAAACTCCACCCATCTAATTAAAAGTTTGTAATGTCGGGTAACTTTTGATCAAAGTCTTTACCTTATCAAAGCAAACTACTGTAAGATCTGTTTTCATTAGGCTAGCATGTAAAGAAAAACCTGTCAGAGTGCTCCCACTGCTGCTTTTCTGCATTAAAAATTATGGCACTGAGGAAGTGTTCCTGGCTTTACAAATAATGGCAACAAATCCGATATCAGGTAAAGTTTGCCTGAGAAACAGAGTTCTTCCTCAGCATTCCTCTTCCACAAACCAGCTAGAGAATTCCTCAACTCTTTCATGATTCCAAAGGACTTGTGAAGGAGGCTGCAAAAGGAAGGCTCCTATTCTGACATTATGGAAAATCAAACAGGAAACAGGATTAGATGAACTAATTTTATTTTACAAGAAGGCTACATTAACAGAATCTTGCAAATCTGAAGGCACAAACTTCCTCCTGCCGCTTTTAACTGATTGATCCATGAGGAAGGGTCCTTTCTAAGTTTCTTTCCCTAACGTTAAGCCACTGGGGCTGTACATCTCATCTGTTTCCTGATGTCAGCCTCTGTTTTGCTGCTTGCTTTTCGGCTGCCATTGAAACGGGGAGGGAGGGCATGGTATTTGGGTGGGGGAAATAATCTGTACAGGAGGACTGTTAGTTGGGAGTTGTTCTCACCATTCGTTTGCACATATGGAAGGAGGGGAGTTTCCCGCCAAGGCCAACTGTCCAGCATTCCAACCTGATGATGATGATGTTTGAAGATGTC